CATTTCCAGAGAACTATATGGAATATGTATTCGCAGCTGAGTAACACACACCCATACCTTGTATCTTCTTATTCGAGATTCCTCCAAAGAGCCATTGTATTTCTTACAGAAGGAAAATTACATTGTGTAGTCCTTTCAGGAACCGAAATTCAATGGTTTTAAACTTTCTAGCTGAACTTGCTACTTTGGCCTCTCTGACGAAAGATACACAACTCAGTGGTTATGGCATTGCATTACCAAGATGAATATCTATTGGCTGATCATGACCAGTACGTTTCACAAAAACAGGTGTGCTCATAGGCTACCTTGAGCGCGTTTGGGTGATACAAATACACCAACTTTTAAATGTCAACTCAGGATGTTCATGCGAGATCCTACAAAACACAGATATATTTATTCCAATTGATTGGAGGTTTATCTATAGAGACCTGCATTGTTCAGTTTCCATGACAACGGACTACTGTTCAATGGTTATAACCAAATTGGAGTCGTACTACGATTCACTTACTAATTGATGTGTCTTGTTGCAGGCTTGATTGTTCTTCCTGATGTGGTAAGAGTGGAGTGTTGGACAATGATAGAAACCACCTTTCCTTCAAATGTCAAATCAGCAGCATTGTGCAAAATTTCACTAAATATTTTTTGCAAGGATGTGTAATGCATTGGGGTATATTATATCTTCAGAGACTTCTCTTGACAAAATACACATTCTTCAGGGTTATAACCTTGAATTCCAACGCTGGAATAACCAATGATTTATGATTTAATTATTAAAACAGAATTTGTATACCTAAAGTAGTAAATACGGAGTCGTTACCAACAGAATATGTGAATCACTACTTTCCCTCATTGGATCATTTTTGATGAACCAAACCTTATAGAATAGTGAGTTATTCATATTCCCCAGACACAACGTTGTGATGACACTTAATCCTCGGATTGGTTTCTCTTGAACAAGTAAATATGTCCAATGTCCACACCCCGTTATGTAATGTAAACACGTAATCAATCTACTTGTTAGAATTCTAACTGTAACGTTTCTTCTGACAAATGAGCTTCCTATCATATGACGGAGGCGGTGACAGAAGACTTGTACAATGTATATGACAGAAAGTGTGTTGATGATACAGGGTGTGTAGGTAACAGAGAGTGATGAAAGAATGTATAAATGACAGAGTGTATAAATGACAGTGTGTTGATGAAAGAGGGTATAAATGACAGTGTGTGTAAATGACAGCGTGTTGATGAAAGAGCGTATAGATGACGGGGTGTGTACATTACTGAGTGTGTTTGTGTGACGGGGTGTGTCTTCAGGTGTCTAAAATGTCGGAGTGTGTGTGGAGATATTTAAGTTCAACGCTTCTTTGAGTATCATCTCCGTAGCTCGCTTAGGGAGGTAAACACGAAGTGATGCAGGTCTTAGATATTTACCACTTTGATAAAAACCTAGAAGCATAATCATGATTCGAACCAAAGATCATAGATTCCCGGCATACCTAAGGGATGCAAATCTTCACAAGGAGGGAAGTGCGGTGCCTTAGACGTCAGGGCCATCCATACCCCAATGAAAATAAGAGTGTCCAGATAAAAGACGGTGTGTAGATGACAGGATTGGGCTGTGTAAATGTCATGCTGTGTGGATGGATGACACAGAGTACGTAAATGGCAGGGAGTGAAGATGACGGTGAAAGTACGTAGGTGAAAGAGAATGGATGACGGAGTGCGTGTGGATGACTGAGTGTGCGGAGATGACGGAGTGTGTAGATAACGAAGTGTGTGTGGATGACACTGTGTGTAGATGACGAAGTGTGTGTGGATGACGGGATGTGCGTAGATGACGAAGTGTGTGTGTGGATGACACTATGTGTAGATTACGGAGTGTGCATAGATGATCGAGTGTGCATAGATGACGGAGTGTGTACATAACGAAGTGTGTGTAGATGACGGAGTGTGTACATAACGAAGTGTGTGTGGATGACGAAGCGTGTAGATTACTAAGTGTGTGTAGATGTCGGAGTGTGTACATAACGAAGTGTGTGTGGATGACGAAGTGTGTAGATTACGAAGTGTGTGTAGATGACGGAGTGTGCAAGGATGACAGAGTGTGTGTGGACGACGAATTGTGTGTAAATGACGAAGTGTGCATAGATGACGGAGCGTGTGGATGATGGAGTGTGTAGACGGCGGAGTGTGTGTTGATGACAGAGCGTGTGTAGATGAAGGAGTGTGTGAATGAGGGAGTGTGTGTGGATGATACTGTGTGTAGATGACGGAGTGTGTGTAGATGACGGAGGGTGTATAGATGACGGAGCGTGTGTAGATGATGAAGTGTGTAGATTACGAAGTGTGTGTGGATCACGGAGTGTGTGTAGTTGACGAAGTGTGTGTAGATGACGGAGTGTGTGGGTGATGGAGTGTGTGTAGATGAAGGAGTGTGTGGATGACGGAGTGTGCGCAGATGACGGAGTGTCTATGGATGACACTGTGCGTAGATGACGGAGTGTGCGTAGATGACGAAGTGTGTGTGGATGACGAAGTTTGTGGATGACGGAGTGTGTGTGCATGAAGGAGTGTATTAGATGACGGAGTGTGTTTAGGTGATGATGTGTGAGTACATAACGGAGCGTGTGTTGATGTTCACGATTAGGAACATTGAGAACACTGTCCAAATTTTGTAAAATAATCATGTCATTGTTTAAACCTGTCAAGTAGCTTTCCCTCTTACTGAATTGCACATATATTGCTACTCTTGTGAATCTGTATAAACATGCATGCATGCTCGGCAAAGATGTTTTTCTATCTATTCTATATTTATATGTATATGTATTATGTTAATGAAATAATTTTGTATCCCTGATGCCGCTGACAGCGGCCTGGGTGTAAAAAAAGTTAAAAGTTCAGTTCAGATGACGGAGTGTGTGTAGATGACGGCATGTGTGCGGATGGCATTGTGTGTAGACGACAGAGTGTGTGTGTAGATAACGGTGCTGAGTGTGTGTAGATGACGGAGTATGTGTAGACGACACTGTGTGAAGATGATGAAGTGTATGTAGATGACGGACGGAGCGTTTGCAGACGACAGAGTGTGTAGAGATGTCACTCTGTGTGTGGGTGCTGAATTGTGTAGATGACGGGGGGTGTGTAGACGACGGAGTACGAAGAGTGTGGAGTGACGGAGCGTGTGTGGATGACGGAGTGTATGTGGATAACGGAGTGTGAGTATGTGGATGATGGAGTGTGTCTGGATGACAAAGCGTGGAGGATGACGGAGTGTGTGGATGATGGAGCGTGTGGATGACGGAGAGTGTGTGGATGACGGAGAGTGTGTGGATGATGGAGCGTGTGTGGATGATGGAGCGTGTGTGGATGACGGAGTGTGTGTGGATGACGGAGTGTGTGGATGATGGAGCGTGTGTAGATGACGGAGTGTGTGTGGATGACGGAGTGTGTGTGGATGACGGAGTGTGTGTGGATGATGGAGTGTGTGTGGATGACGGAGAGTGTGTGGATGACGGAGAGTGTGTGGATGACGGAGAGTGTGTGGATGATGGAGCGTGTGTGGATGATGGAGCGTGTGTGGATGACGGAGTGTGTGTGGATGACGGAGTGTGTGGATGATGGAGCGTGTGTAGATGACGGAGTGTGTGTGGATGACGGAGTGTGTGTGGATGACGGAGTGTGTGTGGATGATGGAGTGTGTGTGGATGATGGAGCGTGTGTGGATGACGGAGTGTGTGTGGATAACGAAGTGTTTGGAAGACGGAGTGTGTGGATGATGTGTGTGTGTGTGTGTGTGGATGACGGAGTGTGCGTAGACGACGGAGTATGTGTGGATGACGGAGTGTGTGTGGATGACGAAGTGTGTGTTGATGACGGAGTGTTTGGAAGACGGAGTGTGTGTAGACAGGTATGTGTAAATAATGGAGTATATGTAGATGCATGCTGAGTATGTGAAGTTGACAAGGTGTAACAGTATTTTGATAATGTTGATATTGGGAACCAACTACCATATATGTACTTCTTCTCCATATCTAGGAAGGGTCTTCTACATCAGACTATTTTAATGATTAATATGTTATCATGTTTTTTTTACTCTGCTGAGGGCATAGCCTGATGAATGATGAATATTTTCACAAGACTCCTTTCAGTACCAGAATTGTTCTAATTCGAGTCCTTGTTATGGACGGCAGTTACTTTACCCCGCATTCTGTGGCCTCCTGGCCATTAATCTCCAGAACGATAAAACTCACGAACGAGTTGAAAGTACAGTTAAATCTTGTTCATCAGGACCGTACTATACCAAGCGAAGTGATCTTGATTAACAGATTTCTGGATTAACAACCCATTGATACGAAGCAATAGTTCTTTGGAGGTATATGGCTGATTGTTCGGAAGGCAAGATTTCCGGACTATAATATAACGAGGTTTTATTACATTCAGTTCCGACAAGTTGATTCAGAATGTCGCCTTTTCTTTGTGTTTCTATCCTCTCTAGAGCCATATAAGCTCAGGAGATTCTGAAACTTTTCAACCAAGGCAGTTATCTCATCTCCTCCATAGAAGAAAAATTACTTGAAAGAATCCAATATTTTTATTTTATTTTAACATATAGAAAGAAAATATATATAATCAATTTCGTACATCTTAAAAGACACACACACATTAGCTTTAAAATACTTTATCACATAACAGTATTCATTGACAAGATATTACTTTCAAGATCTTTAAATATAATATGACGTTTAAATTTTAAAGTTACGTTTCAAAGTTAAAGAATTGCACAATAGTTCTTCTCTAATTAGTCTATTGGTTATCAGTCACACAAAATGTCTTCACGATGTCATATCGAATTACATCATGTCTGCACAGAAAGTAATTGAAGGGTATCTGGAGTCATTGATAGCGATCTCAGGTGATGTCTCACTGCTTTAATGGCTTGGATATGCTTTTGCGTTCGGCTATTAGAAGAAATAAGCCTCTTTCAAGGTGCTGGGTCGTACCTCAGACGTATGCATGAACGACTTGACCCAATGGTATCTCTCTCCTCACTTCCGAAGGACATCATTTCCATTGTATTTGCTTCCGCACTCTAGAATTCTTCTTGCCTCAGCCTGAAATGAAAGACACACTTATTAACAGAGTATCATGCTTTAATAGAGAGATGCCTTGTTTGGACGCGCTTTTCCTAGAGCAGGTGGCTGGATATCCCTAGCAATTGGTCTTGTGAGACCACAGACGTTCCCACTGTCACTCATAGATTTAATTGCTACTAGGCTGCCTCAGAAAAACGGTTCTTCCCCTTTATTGATGTGGTCTTTTTACTTCTCTCATAGCTTAATCTGAGGCTCCGTTGACATTTCTGTTGAGCCTTTGTGGACTGTTTGACAAGATAACGTATTTGGTGTTTGGATATGCATTTTCCAGGTTGTGTTTTTAAGTTAATTTGTTTTTCGTAAAGGCGGGGATACAGTTGAAATGAGACAGGTTCGTGTTGCGCTTCTTTCTAAAACATGTACGATGGTCACACGAAGTGTTTTAAACCATAATGTCCTAAATAGAATATTGTTAGAACAAGCAATACTTGTACAATAATACGTGATATTTTATACAATAATTTGAAGGTTTTATGATATCAGCTCATAACAAAGATTACCTAGGTTTTTACTGATAAAACAAACAACTGGTTAGGATCGACAATGCATATGCAGTGCATCCATTGCTAATATATATATATCGACTGTCGACTGACAGAAACACAACTAATCAACGCAAGGAATTCGAAGTACATTGTTTCTTATCAGTCTGTTTATTACAGCATATCAGTTGCTTTCAGGTAGAAGGGTTGAAGCGGCATAATTCATAAAACTTAATCCGTTTAGCTTACTCTACATGCAATGATGGACCAAGGGTTACAACCGGATCGAACATAGGATTCGAAGAAGCTATCTGTGAATCCTGGCACTAACAAGAGACACAAATTCCGACGCCTTTGGCCATCTAGCCCACCATATTTCCCAGTGACACATAGTTTAGATTAAGGCAAAACCCACTTTATTGTTATTTCTTATGCTCAAATTACTTCTAGAATCGAACATCTGAAGAATGGTTTCACTTATTGGAATACGGACCATCATTTTAACTTTGACCAAAAATGTGGAAGCCTTAACCATAATATTATGTATCATTTTCTGAAGATTATTGATATATAAATCATAAACCCCAACAAAAACACAACGAGTAAATCTTTAACAAATTCAAACAGGTTAGTCAAAATATTGACGTGTGATGTTGTCATGCGATTGTCTGCATGACGAGGTTAAGTTTACCGAAGGGTTGTGTTACAAAAAAGCTCAATCGAATTTCCTTTAATGGTTTCGTCATAAGGTTACGATAATGCTCTGTCGAATTTGTTATCATTTCAATCCCCAGAGCTCTCTCACATCCATAAAGTACGGGTATAGCATGCCCTGTTGGTGAAAAACGCAAATTGTCCAATATACCAGATATTCTCCCAAACAGGTTAATGCATCGTTTGACGCCTATCGTTTTCTGTTGACACGTATAATGCGTGGGCTCCCTTCCGGAAAGACAGAACTCTCTTATACAAAGCCTAGGAAGGTATTTATAAACTAGAATTGTGTGTCTAATATTGACAGAAATCCAGAGTGTGTGTAACAGTCAATTACACGGAACTGTCTCTGACATTCGACGAAGCCCTCCGTGTTACACGGTCTTTGATAAGTGTGTCCAAATAACACATTATTGAAAACATCCATTACTTACAGGAGCCAAACGTCATTTGCGCCGTTGCCGAAGTTCAAAACAATTTGTGTGATTATTTCAGGTTGTCGGAGAACCCAAACAAAATGTTAGTGCTACATCTGTTACTGTCTACTCACTGAACCTTTTTCATACTTGCCCTGTTTTGACGGTCTGTATGCCAGCGGTATTGTGTTTGGAAGTTGTATTTCCAATCGCTTTCGTAAGTCGGAAAGTGTATTTGACAGGGAAGGTTTCGGGTAAGTGAAGGTATTCAAAAACACGAGATAGATTGCATTGGATTTGTTTGTTTGTTGTTTAACACTGCACTCGAGTCTGGACCGGACATACGGTGAGGTGAGGTGAAATTGGGTTTAACGTCGCGTCCAAGATTATTGCACTTATATAGCGACGTGCATGCACGTGTGTGTGTGGCTGCTTGTACTAGTCCGGACTGATGCCGATTTATAGTGCTAGCTCACTGAGATACCATGCCGCAGTTTAACATGAGTACCCCACTCAGCCACAGTATACTGACTCCGAGCCGACCAGTCCTTGTTTTAGCCCCTTAATGCCGAGCGCCAGACAGGGTAACAACAAGTACCATCTTTTAATGTCTTTTGGTATGACGCGGCCGGGGATCGAACCCCGGACCTTCCGCTCTCCGGGCGGACGCTCTACCACAAGACCACGGAGGCGGTCACCGGACATACGAGTGATTGACATCATATACATCAATCTAAGAAATTGGGATACGATAATATGCTAATATCCCGAAGGAACATCCCGTCAGCCGCCTCTTGAGACAAGCATAGTCGGCTCTTACAACATACATGGGTTGCTGAAGACCAATTCTTACCCAGATTTTCACGGGTGATATTGCATTGGAATGAATATTCATACACTGTTTTCGATTCAGTTTGATTAACGTCGTTAAAAAGAAAATGAATGAACAAATGTTATACAGAGGTTTGAAAATAATTAAACGTAAACACCAGAAATTAACCAGTTTCGATTATCTGACTTTATTGAGCGTAAATGGCAAAATAGCTGTGAAAATTATGTGAATCGATCGCTGTAAATCTGTGGGGACACCAGGTGTTCGTGAAAAGCGGAAGCACGTCTCACACACGTGTTCGAATGAGAGACTCAACTTAACAGGTAACATTATGTATATCTCTTTTCTTGGAGTGAGTGAGTGAGTGAGTTGGGTTTAACGCCGCTTTTAACAGTATTCCAGTTATATCACGGCCTGTCAGCTTAATGTGGGAGGAAAGCCCGAAGTGATGCAGGTCTCAGACGTTTACCACTTCGGGGAAACCCACGAGCACGGGTATGGTGCTGACAAACCAAGAAACATAATTCGGGTGAACCGGGATTCGAACCCACAATCATAGGTTTCTGGCATGCCCAAGGGCCGCAACTCTGCACATCGAATCGCGGCGCCTTAGACGCCTGAGCCACCCGTGCCCCCCCTATTCTTGGATGCGAACAGAGGCAGAGTCAGCATGGGAAATTATTAGGTGCACATTTGAACCTCGATATCTTAACCACTTCGATATGTCCGAACATTCATAGAAGGACATCTCCATCAACAGTAACACGTAAGCCTTTCTCTATTTTGCATATCCTAGACGTATGATGTTTTAAAGAATACCAATGTAAAGCCAACGTTGTTCGAGTAGTGATGTACATATCCTGTTAGCATCCGAATGTGAAGATTATGATTTGTCATCATGTTGCCATAAACACATCCTAAAGCCGGCAGTGTAAAATAAATAACTCAATTCAACAATATCATTGACAACATTCTGATGCCGCGGGTGATTTCATCATCTATAAACCAGTTTTTTCCACTGCCCTATCGCTAGAACATTGCTGAGTGTGGCGTTAAACAACAAACAAACCAAACCATAACATGTTAACGGACATGATTCTGAGCATTTTCCAAACCAAAGGCCAATTTTATGTGTCAAAAGTCGAAGGTTTGTCGTTCTGTATGCATTCAGCAGGAAGCTTGCTTCTCGATTCCTCAGCTTTAAATCTTTTTGTTGGTCGGAAGTAAGGATCGATCGTAAATTACATGTCTCATGTAACCTTTGTAGCTTTCATCAGACACGTTTGCAATTAGTTGGTGTTCTTTTTATCCTTGATCTAATCTAGACTACATGTTATTTTAAACATATTAAAACGTTAAAACACGTGTTCACCGTGTATTAATCTGGTACATTTCGTGCGTGGACGGCTATGTTTTTAAATAATGGTCCTTGATAATTGGAAATAGCTTTTATCACATTTTGTGTAGAATGGTATTTACCATGCGTCCCCTAACCAGACTCAAATATTTGACCAGGCATCACGATCCTAATTTTCCCCGTAATGTTTTATCAAATAACGGGGCTTCCCTTTGTCGATCCTGCTGTTCAGAGCAATGTCAACATGGTTTTATTCATGATATGAAACTCACACGGAAAACGTTCAAATAGAATGGCAATACTCTATTCATCCACACAAAACCATCACAAGGGTTATATGTCCAAGATCCTTCAGTTCATGTTAAGTTATATTTAGAGATAATATTAGTTTATTTACACTTCTTCATATGAACGAAAACTCAAGATTGCTTAGATATGATACGAAAAGACTTTTAGGCATGTACTAGCAATTGAGTTTGAATAGGCCATTATGATTGCATAATGAAAAATACACTTTGGATACAGTTGCCATAAATGACGAACCCACTGGTTGCCAAGTGAAGGACAACATATGATATCGAATATTTTCATTTATAATTTCATATTAAATATGATATGAAATATGCACACATGAAACACGTCTGATAAACAGGTGTCAGTGTTTATGATTTTGTTATTTAGCTTAACTGGATATAGCAATGTCGTACTTAAAATGTACTTGTAAATCATGGTATCGCCACAAACAACAACACAACATGTAAGCAATACACGAAGGAGTTCTGACGCAGGTATTAACTAGCTTGTTGTCTTCATGGCGTTCGACACAGGAACAGGACAGATGGTGTATAGGTTCCGATTAAAGGTTTTAGATTTCTCTGCAGAACTATCTATCATTTAACTTGTTGATATGTCAAGTTATTCTTAAATAACCAAAGTTCAATAAAGAGCGATAATTACATTTCAGTATAAAATGGATTAAACACGTCGCCATTGCATTCCATGAAAACCAGTACCTAATGCCACAAAGCACTTTTTATGACTGATTACACGAACAACATTATTAGGTATTGTGTTAAAATAAATTGTGATAAATGTGTTTCTTTCAGTGGATAATGTTTCTGTTAGAAGCAATGCATCATGTTGAAAAAGAGATGCTG